GAAAAATTACAAACACGTAGTATACATCCATATGTAGGTGTGTACTAGCACATATGCCCGTGCATTGCAACGGGAGAAAGAAAACATTATTGTATCCATCAAAATATTCACCAGCGGGGCACACCAGCCTCTAGATGTTACCACCCAGGGATGGTAGTGGGACAAATGAGGTGGGCTCCTGCCCGATGACGCCCAAAACAGAAGCGCATCAGTGCGGGCGCCGACTAGTTGATGCGGTAGCTAGTGAAGATGTGATGGTATGTTGTGTGCATGCATGCACCTTGTACACGTCCAACACCCGCCCATCTAATGCTCATGGACGATTTCACATGTCTTGGTTATCGATGAGTACTTTCATCGAAAAATAAAAAGGGTCACGATGATTAGCGTGTCGGTCTGTATTTGGATGTCTGGCGGGAGGTACACGGTAGTATCAACATTGACGGCACTGAAGCTTGAGCCAAAGGATATATATAGGCCTTCATTAGAAGATGTCTTCGGACATAGTACTACTTAGCAATCAATCTGATATGGATGGTGTCGATCACATCGCACGCACATGAGATGTTCGTGACAGTGTGAGTCACGGAGGCAAGGACAAATCGGAGATGAATGACGGGGGTCCGACATGTGCTCCATGAACTCTCGGACGTAGAGTTAGTTTTCTACCTTGCCTAGAATTACTTTTCACCTAAAAGTTTTAAATACATTTTTCTTCTGATTTGTAGGCTTTTTTGTAAGTGAGAGCAAGAACAGTTTGACTGCCGAGCGCTTTGATAGTCAAAAGTCAAAACACATCCATAATAGGGATGTGCGGCGCGACTAAAAAACAGCATATATGCTCAACTCGGTGGGCTTGTGGAACGAGCAACTTATTTTTTTGTTAAGAGAACTCTCTTTCACAATAAGACCGTGATGACTATTTCTCTCTCCTACTGATCCTATTAGGAACGCCTACACGTAGGAAATAGTGGGCTGGCCCAATATTATACCTTAATTTTTATATCTTTTTTTGTTTTTTCCCTTGCTTGCAGCCTGTTTTTTCTTCGGCATTTTTGGTTTTCCTTTTTCCTATTTCATTCTTCCATTTCACTGTTTATTTCTTTGTTTTTTATGATTTCCTTCACTTTTTTTCTTTCACATTTCATAAAAAATTATTTTTCGTTTTTCAACACTTATCTACTTTTTTTACGCATAATGTACATTTTTTATAGATAATGGACATTTTTATTGCATGCGTTTATCATTTTTTTAATACATGGTTAACATATTTTAATATATATTTTATTGTCTATGTTTTTCTTACACAGTGTACATTTGTCTGTATATTCAAACACATTTCTTTATACATGTTTAACATTTTTCAAATAGATAATTATATATTTTTTAAATAAATGTTTGATATCTACTTTTTTTCAACATATGTCTGCATTTTTTAATAGACATTGTACATACTTTTATACTCCCTCCGTCCCAAAATAAGTGATTGAACTTTTTACTAACTTTGTACATGTTTAACATTTTTATAATATATGATTTCATATATACATTTTGATATGTAGTTTTTTCTACATATTGTACATTTTTTGGTGTACATATGAAATATTTGATTATACAGGTTAAAATTTCAGGAAACATATGTTTTGATGTCCACTTTTTTTGTGCACATTGTACAATTTTATATACATATGAAGTATATTTATATATGTTTAAAATTATGTAAATACATGATTAACATTTTCTTCAAATACATTTTTTATCACTATTTTTTTAATGCACATTGTACATTTTTCTTGTACATCAAAACATTTTTATTTCAGATAGATGATTTACGTCTGTTTAAAGTAAGATGAATAATTGAGAAACCTAAAAAGGAAAAAAGAAATATGAGAATAAAAAATATAAGAGAAAAGAAGGAACAGAAAGTACAAACAAAAGTAAAAATATGTGGGACGTCTTCATATTGGGCCAGCCCATGAAAGAAGGCGAGCTACCGCCAGCATCAATAATAGGAGATCTTCCGGGCAAATCCTAAACGGCGCCCGTTGCGCCCGTTTCTTCTATTTCGACAAACGGGCGCACACCCTGTATCCGCGATGGGCCGGTCCCTCTTCATTTTTTTTCGTTTTCCGAACTTGCTGCAAAAAACGAAGCGACGAGGAATCGAACCCGCGCCACCAGGGTCTTTACAGAATGCGCTAACCAACACAGCAAGCCACCTTCTATGATTATCTAATTCCTCCATCTTCTTTACTACTAACGAGTTTTTCTTTTTTCTTTTTTTCTGTTGTTTTTTCTTTTTGCGTTTTCTTTTTCTTTTTCCTTTTTCCTTTTTCTGCCTTTTTCAGACGAACTTTTTTTCAATATTATGAACTTTATTTCAAATTCGATGAAGTTTTCTTCAAAATCGATGAACTTTTTTCATATTCGGTGAACTTTTCGCAAAATCGATGAACTTTTCTCACCAAATTCCATGAACTTTTTTCAAAATCGATGAACTTTTTTTCAAATTCAATAAACTTTTTTTTGAAAATCAGTGCACTCTTTTAAATTCGATGAACTGTTTTCGAATTGGATGAACTCTTTTCAATATCCAAAATATGTTCAGATTTTTCGAAATTCGTTTGCCTTTTCAGAAAATGTTTTTTGAAATTCCAAATTTTGTTCATGTTTTCGAATTTTGGTCACGTTTCAAAAATACTTTCGAATTTCAATTTTTTATTCACCGTATTGAGGAAAAATGTTCACCATACATTGAAAAAATGTTAATGTGTATAAAAAAATGTTTTATCGTGTATAGAAATTTTGTTCAGCATGCATTCAAAATGAGTTCATCGTATTTAAAAAAAAGTTCTATGTGTATTTGAATATTGTTCACCATACATTGAAAAAATGTTCAGTGTGTATAAAAAAATGTCCATCATTTAGAGAAAGAGAAATTTTGTTCAGCATGCATTCAAAAAAAGTTCAGCATATTTAAAAAAAATGTTCAGTGTTTCTTTGAATAATGTTCACCCTATACTAAGAAAATGTTCAATGTGTATTCTAAATTCCCTGTCCAAAAATTGTTCATAGTACAAAAAAAGTATTCAATTTTCGAAACTTGTTCACTTTTTGGTTTTTGAAAAACATAGTTCACATTTAAAAGAAAAGGAATATTCGAAATTTGTGTACGATATTCGAAACATTTGTTCGCATATTTAAGATTTTTAATTTTTCCAAGAATTAATGGAAAATGTTGAAAAACCCTAGATCTACCATTTGGGTTGGTACTTAAAAACAAACGCCGTTTTTAGGATGTACACAATTAGTATCCCAGCTGGCCAGCTTCGTTAGCATGCAGCGCTATGTCTGGAGTTCGAGTCCCATTGCGATTGTTTTTTCAAATTCGTTGAACTTTTTTTAGATTTGATGAACTTTTCTTAAAAAAGAAGGATGAACGTTTTTTCAATTTTGTTGAACTTTTTTTAGATTCGATGAACTTTTTTTAAAAAAAGAAGCATGAACGTTTTTTCAAATTCGTTGAACTTTTTTTAGATGCGATGAAATATTTTTAAAAAAGAAGGATGAAATTTTTTCAAATAGATGAACTTTTTTTAATTTACTGAACTTTTCTTAAACATCAATGAACTGTTTTTTTAATTCGTAAACTTTTTTCAAAATTTGATGAAGTGTTTTTAAAATAATTAGGAAATCTAATAAATAGCACTAATTTATTGATTCTTATACATTTCACGTTCGTTGTAGTCACTAGCTGTTACTTGTTGTAGTGGTTAGCAGAATGGTTCCTTCCTTGTAGTTTCAAGGCGTGAGCTCGAGTGACTGTACCTGCAATTTTTTCTGCGAGACATTTTTCCTTCCTCAGCGCGTGGTGGGCCGGCCCATGAGGTGCGGCGTGTAAGCGCCAGCTTCCTGAACCGGCGCTTAAGGCGCCGGTTAGGAGCTCCCGATCTTCCGCCTCACAACCTAAATCATTAGCTTGGCCTGATAGTTGTAAGTGTGTGGCTGTTTCCAGGAGACCTTGGTTCGAGTCCATCTGGGCGCATATTTTTTAATATTTTTAAAACAGACGACAGACGTACCAAATCCTGAGATGACGACGTACAAAACACTTACGAAAAAAAGTGGAGAAACGCTTCTCTCTTTAATATTAGGTAGAGAAGAGTAGAGATTTTGTTTCAGATAATTTTAAGACTTTAAATATTGTTTTCAGAATTCGGTAGCCCATGAGCTATAAAAAGTATAGTAAATAAATAAGTAATTATAAAAAGTATAGTAAATAAATAACGGAATAGATAAATCCCGAAAGTTCGGAATTTAAGCATGTCATACCGAACTTTTTTTATGGTAACTTTACTTGCTGCGAGGTGGCAACTTTAGTTGTTAACGCATGACAACTTTGTTCCAGTTCGATTTTTTGTTAAAAAAATGCCATATTTGTCAACATCGTCTTAACTAAAATTGCCATGAAAAGAGTTCGAATTAGCATGCTCAAATTCCGAACGTTCGGGACTTATTGAGGTCCATAAATAAATGGGATTGCCAAATCATAGTCAACCGAGACTTTACAAGTCTCGGTTGATGCTTTATTCGTGAGATTTATATAAAGACCATGTAAAAATTTAACTTTTTTCTTTCTTCGTTTTTATACTCCCTCCGTCATACTCAGAAGAATAAGTGTCTTGAGCTTAATATAAATTTATGTTAAATCTAATACAAAGTTGAGACACTTATTTTAGGACGGAGGGAATATGATATAGGAACTTTTTTAATCTTTGTTAACTTGAAGAACATTCTAGGACGGGGAGTATGTTCATATCTAGCCACACCGAAAGGAAAAAAAAGAGAGGAAAGAACAAAGCAAACCAAACCCCGATCCACCCGCAACGACCACGACGACTCCCCTTTCCCGGCCATCTCTGGCCCCCTCCCCTCCTCCCCTCCCACCAACCCGAGTAGGCGAGCAGCACCGCAAGCCCCCGAGGCGACACTCCCATCCCATGGAAGGCTCGGGTACGGCCGGCGCCCGCGGCGGTGGGGGCGGCGGGCCGGCGCCGTTCCTGCTGAAGACGTACGAGATGGTGGACGACCCGTCGACGGACGCGGTGGTGTCCTGGAGCGACGCGTCGGACACGAGCTTCGTGGTCTGGAACTCGCCCGAGTTCGCCGCGCGGCTGCTGCCTGCCTACTTCAAGCACAGCAATTTCTCCAGCTTCATCCGGCAGCTCAACACCTACGTACGTAACCCCGTCCCCCCTCTCCCTGAATCTCGACGCGCGCGCCGAGCGACCTCGGTGGATTTCGGGATTCAGATTTGTGCGTGTGCGGGGGATTTATTAGGTGGAGCTGAGCTGCTGCTCCTTTTTTTTGTCAAATTTGGATCTTGGGTGGGTGGCGTAGGTGCTGAAATCTCTGCGCTGCTATGGTGAACTGCTACTTCTTAAGATCATCTAGGATGCTGGTTTTCTTAGCTGGGCTTGATTGCAGTTTAATGCCAAAAAATAGGGCTTGATATGGTGCCAAATTTGTTTGTTTATTGTAACATGTTTATAATTTTGTGCGCTGGGCTGGTCAGACGCTATGTGAATAACTGCATTCTTATCTTAGAACAAAGGGAGTACATTGTAGACCTAATATCTTGATTCGGAAATATTTGTTCAGTAAAATTTTAAGTGTTCATTTTTCCTGTAGTTTTTGCTTGTTTAGCAAGCTCGGTCAGTCAGTGCGATATGATCTGCATTTGTTTTTGTTCAATAGCTTCACTCCCTCTGTTTCACCATAATTGTGGCAGCCCACCATGCACATGAACTGAATCAAAGAGGAATTAATGAAAGATGACCATGCAATCCGGCCACTATTAAATTAACACCCACAACTTAACCCCCTTCCAAAGCTCTAAAGGTTAGGGTTCTCCCGTCCTCATGGGCGGTGTATGCTGTGGTCTAGCTGTTTCTCCGTTTTTCAGTTAGCTTGAGTTGTATCTTGTATGCATGGCCATGCCTGAGTACGTGCGGGATACAGAGTCGTAGGCCGTAGCTTTCGCTTTGGTGGACGTTGTGGTGAGCCACGATGCTACGTCGTGGGATGGCACGATCAAAATGGTTGGTGGCGCACACACTACCCCACCCTTTCCATTATTTCTGTTGTATTTGGAATGGGAGGAATAGAAGACGGATGTTATGTGTTTGTGTGGTTGGCGTTTGTTGCGATGTTCGGCATGCCGGCGGCGAGAGTGGGCTTGCCCCATATGTGTTTGTGATGTTGGGGAGTGGGTTTCACCCTTGTTGAATCGGTTGTAGCTCAATTTTCCATAATTAACTGGGCAACAATCTTCTTAATTAATGGAACGGGCAAAGCTATTACCTCGCATTTTGGGGAAAAAAGTAGGGGTAGAGAGTGAAAACATTGCACTAACTACACTCCTGATCCACTCCATGGATAAATGTTGTGAAACAGAGACTTTTTAGATAAAAGGTGTGTGCCCGACTATAGATAAAGCCGCCAAGCAACGGTCAAAGATAATTACAGTGAGGATAATTACCAATTTTGTTAGAGGCGGCTTTGTTATCCTCTTGCTAAGACCTCTGAGATCTTGGAGGTGGTATTATTTTGGTTGTTGTAAACACTGGCCATTTGAACTATCATTTCCTGCTGTATTAGACCGACCTACAAATGTTTGTAGCGAAAGACGGTCTTTTCTTAACACAAACAGAAGTGCAGAAAATGATTCCTCACCATCTTCTCTGTTTGCAGCTTGCTGTATTTTGGGGGTTACATTTACCAGAGAGAATTTGTTGACATGCAAGTAGTGTTTAAAATTTCTGCAATGTTTTGCTTGTTGATGTTTGATCAGGTCCAAAATTTCACTAAACCATCTGACCCTTTGAAAAACCATCAATGTTGCAGGGATTCCGTAAAATAGATCCAGAGCGATGGGAATTCGGTAACGAGTACTTTGTCAAGGGGCAGAAACACCTGCTGAAGAACATCTACAGGCGGAAGCCTATCCACAGCCACAGTCATCAACCAGGTGCGCTGCCTGATAACGAGCGTTCATTCTTCGAAGACGAGATCGACCGGCTTGCACGAGAGAAAGCAAACCTACAGGCTGAGCTCTGGAAGTCCAAGCAGCAGGAGTCCGGAACCATGTTCCAGATTGAAGCCCTGGAGCGACGAGCGGTCGACATGGAGCAGCGGCAAGGCAAGATGATCGCCTTCCTGCAGCAGGCCAGCAAGAACCCTCACTTTGTCGGTAAGCTTGTCAAGATGGCAGAGGCATCCTCGATGTTCGCAGACGCTTTGCACAAGAAGAGAAGGCTATCCGGGTTAGACTACGCCGTCGAGGCCACGGAAACGGCTAGCTTCTGCGATGACCATAGCCCCACTTCCAGGCAAGAAACGGGCAACCTTCTGAACCAGCACTTCTCCGATAAGCTCAAGTTGGGGCTCTGCTCCGCGGCGGCAGAGAGCAACCTCGTCACCCTGAGCACCCAAAGCTCGCACGAAGACAACTGTAGCCCGCATGGCAGGCATCCTCCAGGGCATGAAGGAATGGGGACAGGACGCCTTCCTCTGGTACCACAGATGATGGAGCTCTCCGATACCGGGACGTCCATCTGCCCCTCCAAGAGCTCGTTCTTCACGCCGGCTGTAAACGACGAAGGGCTGTCGCCGTGCCATCTGAGCCTAACTCTAGCGTCGTGCTCGATGGATGTCGACAGAGGTCAAGCGTCCAATGCAGACGGGAGCACCACCGTCGACGAGGGAAGCGACAACCCACCGGAGGCCACCACAGCTGCCATGGGCGTTAACCAGAAGGCATCAGTCGATGCCGGCACAGCGGAAGCACTGAGGCCACGAGAGGATATGCGGGTGGCCACCGAGCCGGCAGCTCCTGTCAAGGCGAATGACAACTTCTGGGAACAGTTTTTGACGGAGAGGCCGGGAGACGCGAGCTCTGGCCCGAGGGATCCTTCCATGGACAAGGAGCAAACGGAAAGGGGGGAGAAGGATGACACGGAACAGCTGAAACTCTGAATTTTTCTTCGAGCGCTACCAATTTCGAGGAAGTGAGACATACAGGAAAGCTGCTGTTGTAATCAGGATGACATCAATTAATGGGTGTGTGATTACGCACAGCATGGGACGTGTGTGTAACTGTAAATATTGTTATATTTATTAGGAAAAAGTCCAAAACAAACCTTAAAGTTGTAGAGGAAATCTAAATCAAACCCTGAATTTTGAATCCTGAAAATTGGCACTCGGAACTTGTAATCCCAGTCTATTTTGGACCCTCGACCTGTTTGGCACACTGGGAATATAATCCTATATATATAATTGTTCAGAAGTTAAAAAAATGTACCTGTTCTCTATTTTTGGCACAAATTCAATTTTTGCGTTTTGAAAAAATGTTTGGATTTTGAAATCCTATTTGCATTTTAGAAAATTGTTTGTGATTTCAAAATAATCACATTTGTCAAAAAATGCTCCGAATTCGGATTTTCAAAATTGTGTAGCATTTTTTAAAATAATGTTTTTGGAATTCCGTAAATAATGTTTTTAAAAAATCAAACCCTGAATTTTGAATCCTGAAAATTGGC